ATTGATATAATTATTTTAAGGATATTTAAAAATTGAGATAATATCAACTTCGAGGATATTATTTAAGATGGACAACAAAAATAAATAAGAATAAGAATGATAGGACTTGTAGACAATCTGGACATTTACAAGTCAGATACGATTCTATCAAAATGGTAAAACCATGTATTAAAATGTTAGAATGCATTAAAGATTCCTTGTGACTTGAAAAATTACGTCGAACTATGTTATAAATCTTATTTTTCTGTAAATATTTTCCACAAGAGTTTACCACCTTTGAACATTACATTAAAAGTACAAACTTGTTTTATATATGCATTTCTCCAATCATTTTGACTGTTTTGGCAACCCTAGTGTTAAACTTTCGACTTATATAATCATAATTTGTAGTTCTCGAATTTAATTCGAATGTACTAGAGAAGAAGAAATGAATTTCGATCGAACAAACTGTTCGGTCGAATCGAACGCGATTTAATTAGAAGCCATCAAATCGTATGAATGAAACTCGACACGCATTTTAGCAACCTCGAGAGTCTCCGGAAAGAACCCGAACCCCAAACGTAGTCGAAGTCGATGGTCGACCGAGGGAATGCAATAGTGTATACAAGTTGACCACTCGGGACAGGTGCAGTTCCCTCGCAACCATAAGTAGATAATATTTAAGGCGAAGCGTACCGAAGGACCCCCCGGGAAGTAGGGATTCTCGACAGAAAAATAAAGAGAGTGCGGAAATAAGTAAGCGTCTGATCTACCTACGAACATGGCAAGAGGTTCTCTTCGAAAATCGAGCACCGTCATCAAACAAAACTTTCAGTGTCCCAACATACCCAACGATCATCAGGTTCTTCGACATTTTTAAATTTAAATTATACGTTTCCATAGCGGAGTCATTTATCCTCGATTCATGAATCGGTCTCTAAACAAAGTTTCCAATTAATCAGATTTTAGGCATTTCTCTATCGACCGGGTCCGGCGATTCTTCTCGTCAGGGGAACGCTTGACCACCACTGGTACACCTGAGAATTTAGTTGCATGCCGTCGTAAATCGTTTCCCAAAGCAAAGCGAAGGAGCAGGCTTTACGCAGGACAGGTAGAAACGATGACATGCTTCGGCAATTCTTCTTAGAATTACCTCTGTACGGTATAGTTACGGTTCTCTGGCCAGAACCTCGGAGTTCCTCTTTGTTTGGACCAGTAAAACCGACTGATTGAATCTCGTTTTCCGCGATACTTGTTTTTACCCAGTTTTAAGGAATAATTGGCGGACATTTACGATATGATAGTTTTATGATTTTTCGGATGTATATCTAATAGAATATGAACAGCGACGGGCATTCCATGCATAAATAATTAGGCAAATTCTATTAATTACCGTTCGATTGCTATCTCTTGAGAGTTCTGCACTCTTCCGTGGTATCCAATACGAAAATATTACCTGAAACGTCGTTCATATAGCTACAGGAAGTGCATAAGATCATTCGCCAACGAAGGTTTGGGGGGAGAGAAAAAAAAACGGATAGGGGAAACGCAGGTAGAAAGGAAGGAAGGAAGGAAGGAAGGAAGGAAGGAGACGCGGGCTAGATGGTGTCGAAAAGGTCGGTCAGTACAAGACAGCGGGACAAGCCGGAACAGGGACAACGCAGGACGAGGCAGGAAAGCTAGAAAGAGGACGAAAGGCGTCGAGGGCGAGGGAGGGTCCGATGGGCTGGTACCCATCGGGTTGGAGGTGGCACGTGGAGGTGGGACCTCTTCGCCTCGTTCTCCACTTTCAGTGGCAAGTCCGACAGAGGCAGTCACAACGCGGCTGCTCTTACAGCCAGTTCGCCCGCGCACACCGGTCAACGTCTGCGTTCGAGATTCCGCGAGCACTCGGCCCTGCATAACCGTGTGTGTACGTGTCTGTGCACAGACACCCGCGCGTACACCTGTAGTGCGCGTACCCAAGCGGATTCTAGAGAGGGAGAGAGGAGTCGCAACAACCTGCTGCCGCCACGTTTCACCCTCGTGTCGGCAACTACCCTCCCGTGCTGTGTGGTAAAAAAAAAAAAGAAAAAACAATATCTCGCGGTGGAAATATTAAACGTTTCCGGTGTGAAGTTCCCGCTATCGGGACAAATCGGATCCGCGTTACGAACGATCGGCGCCGACCTCCAGGACGATTCGTGTGGCGAAAATTTCGGACTATTCCTGTGCCAAGTGCTGAGAACGTTTCCCGCGTCAGGTGTTTTAAAACGATTCTCATGTGTCGAACGATTAAAACGGTTCTTGTGTCAAATGATTGAAACGATACATAGTGTACGTGGCGAACGTTGAAAACGATTTGTGCTGGCGAATGGTTCAGGTTCTTGTGGCTGATGTTTTGACCGAATCATATGGTAAATATTTGGAGCAATCGGTACGACAAACATGTATTTTAAATCATTTACGTGATTCAATTTATACGAGAACAGTATTCAATTATGATTCACTTTATACGATCTCCCGTCATACGGTATTACGCGAATGGCGCCGCAGAAAGAGCATCTCGTATCAAATAAATAGAAAAGCTATTCCTCGCATGAGACGTAGAGACATATCTCTAAATCAGGTATTAAAACGGAATTTTGTACGAAGTATCGAGGCAACGCGCCTTGCGAAACATCGTTGCATCTCATACGAGCAACGGTATAATCAACGCATCGCGCGATTCATCAAGACAACCTGAATTATAAGACGATCCCCTTTGTTCATTAAGTACAAAGCAAATATTTCGAGTGTCGCAATCACCGTAAAAACGATTCTCTTACGCGAGGCATTAAAACAACTCCTTACGCAACCGATAGAAGAACTATCTGTGCGGTAATTACTTATAAAACTAGCCGTCTGTTTTGGTCCGGTCGAGGAAGAAGTTTCGCGACAACCATCGTTGACGTTGTTTTACATCCGAAGACTGTCCACGTGTTCGGAGGATCGTGACGAGAGTCGATCAAATCGTATTTGAAAAACGAGCGAACCCTCGCACAGGTTTTGTAGCTGCGATCGTTAGACAGTGAAAAATTATGTAATATTTGTTTTGTTACCAATGGATGTTTTTCGACGACGAAAAATCTATATTTATTTTACGACGAACGAGTCTATCAATCGAATTATAGACTCGTCGATCTTGTCCCAAATTAGTCAGGTATTTCACACGTCAAGCGTTTCGAATCGGTTTATTTGGTTTTCCTATTTATTTTCGCAACTGTGCACGGAAATGCGCTAGCGTACGTTCTGATCAATCGGTGAAACGTACATGCAAACATATTTTCAGTCGCATTTTTCTATAGAGACCAACCGTACCAACGATCTACAGCGATCTATGCTGAAATCGTCGATCCGCGGATCGTCTCCTCCCGTACATCGTCGAAATTTCGAACAGACTTCGGACGTACGAGGAGCTTTCTCATCAGTACGTTCATAAACGCTTTTATTCATTTGACCATCGGCGTTTCGTTGAGAGGAATCTTCTGCGTCAAGTTCCAAAAATTCCTCGACTGTCGGTCGATGAATATGTATCGATGTTCATAAACGACCGAGACTCGGGAATTGACCCTGTTCAACCCTTTCACGAAAATTGCTTGACCGATCTTATTTAAAATTGGGACTCGTGATTCCCTTCCCTTCTCCCCGCGTTCTTCGCATCGAAGTACACGTCGCATTATTCGTACTGACATTCCCTTATATTCAACATGCGACGCAACCATGCAGCGTCATTCTCTTAAATTGACTTTATTCTCGCTAGCCGCGCATTTGCAAATTTACAGAATTTGCATCGCACGAAACGTTAGGTGGCTCGCTTGCTCGCCGCGTTACATTCATCGCGAACTACTCGAGTACAATTCGACGGATCCGGTGGAAGATTCTCCGTCGACCGTCCAATCTTAGATTCGTCGAACGAGCCCGGCGCAGATACCTACGCTCGACTTTGTTGCTGTGCGAAACGCACGAGAACGCACGTCGAGCGAACGGGAGGGACTGAGGGGTGGCGAAACTATCCGCACAGTTTCTAGTTCTTACCTTCTCTCGTCGCGTAGAGGGTAGGTAGAGCAACCCGAGATAGCGAGATCCTTCGAAAGGTCCTGAACTTGGAATTTCACCCCCTCGCCTCCGTCGGACGGCCTTGAAACTCCTCTCTCTTATCTCATCTTCTTCCAAGTCTTCGTTCCCCCATACTATACGTACATAGTACGACGTATCGTATATTTCTCGTTCCAGCCAATTGTAAGAAATCTGGTACCGCTGGTCCGACGCAACAATGGAAAATTGAATGATAACAACTGCGCGGAATACGTAGTTATACAATCGTTATGAGTAACTTGTAAAATTGTAATTACGAATAACTATCGGGAAGTTCGGTAAACTTAATAGACCAAGTAACTCCGTAGCTGCACGCGAGCGATTTTATTCGTCACTACAGAACTCCCGATACTCGTCACGTGGTTTTCCTCGTGTTCAACCCCTGGCCGAACTCTCGTCGCCCCCCTTCGCTCGGTCCGAGTGCGATGATCTCTTTACACCTGTACTCGTGCCGATAATATTTCGATAATAAACTTTACTGATTTTATAACAATCCATTGATTATCGTACGGAACGATTTCCAGAGATTGCGATCTATAAAATAATCTTCGTTTAAAATGATCTTCACTTAAATTTCCTAAATCTAATACGTTAAGAATCGAGAACGCGATTTAAGAAATGTAAATCGGAAAATGGATATACGGTTAACTGAATAGACGAACGAATGGATGGGTGGACAGCAGATCTAGAAAGAGTCGATTAAACGATAGACCGATAGACGTTTAGACGAAAGGAGAGAAGAAGAGAGAGATAGATAGAGGGGGGTAGAGGGAGACGGATGAGAGGAAGGAAACGCGAGTTAGGCGAACAAGAAGCATCGCGTCTCGCGTGGAAACACTAGATACACTATTTCCCTCGAATCTACCGGGGGTTGAAAGGGGTAGTGCCTCCGTCTCTCTCTGGCAGCGAGTTGTACGAAAAGGAGAGAGACCGGGTAGGGCGAGAAGAGGAGAGATAGCACGCGAGCCACCCGGGCTGGAGGGGGTAAGAAATCGCGGGTAGGGGCGAAGGGGGTTCGAGTAAGAGCGCGTGTATCGCGCGGGAAAAGGGTAAGAGGACGGGGAACGGCGGGGTTAGGAGGGAGTTAAGGAGACAGCAGGCTAGGCAGGGGAGAAGGGGGTAAGGGGGAATCTTAGGAGGGGCGAGTAACGTCGCGGCGCATTCACTCACCGGCCGTCGCCGACGCCGCTCTGTGCCCGCCAAACGAAACCCACACGACACGGTCAGTGTTCCTCCCTTCTGTTCTCAAAAACAATTTTCTACATTTTTTTTTTTCTCCTACCAGTATCTGTGGTGACAATTTCGCAATCTTTATCTCCCTGGTTCGCTGATTCATCCTTTCAATTAATCCACCGACTTCGCGTTCCATGGGAATCGTTTGATTGGTTCGGTTGTCAGGGGGTAGTCAACGAGTGATTTCACGCACACAGTGTTCACTGTTCGACGATCGTCGCCGAAGAGATGTCCCACCGAGCAATTGAACGCGCGCCGAACGAAGGCACCGCTTTTCGCGCGCGAATAACCCATCCGATGTCGGATGTTCGTTTGAATCGTTGAAAAATCGCCGCGTTCAAAGTTCGAACGCAAAGATGCAGTTTGTACCGGCAAAGAGGAACCTCGATGGTGCGGTCACATGGTGCGAACGATAGCGCAGTGCCAATCGTGATATGTGAACGCGCGTGGTGAACCGAAATGATCATTTGACACGCGGTTCGATAATTTATTCGTTCGTATTAATCGTAACATGAAAATCGCAAGTGTCTCTACATAAGTACACACACAGTGAATCACAGTAAGGGCGCGCGAAAATTATATGCCTACAACCACAGTTTGAAAAACCGGGCGCCAGGATCCGAAGAGGGGGTGTAGTTTGCAAGTGATTTTGTTCGTACATATATACGACAAAGTGAACGAGTGTACAGTTCGACGTTCGTTTAATCTTTAAACAAGAATTCGGATGAGGTAACGACGGTAAACGGTGAATGAAGTTCGTCGCGCGCGAAAAGTTCCGCCAGCTTTCCCGTTCTATGAATCATTGCCCGATCAATTAGATTCGGTTTAATTCGGTGCTCGTATTACTGAGAACAAAGAAGTTCCGGCTAATTGCTGTGTACAACTATTATCCTTACTGGTACTGCGAACTCACTGGTACATCGCGAACGTAAGAAACCGAGTAAAAGATCGAGGGATCTGTAGAATATCATTTAGCTTGAATTAAATTAAGATTCGTGGGATTTTTGACAACGTTTATTCTCTTGGATCTCCATCTTTCAAGTTCATGAAGGTGATCAAAGTTTGGCAATAACTCGATTCAAGTTTGGACTGGCACTATAAGTGACATTTCTATACCGCACGTATTCCACTGTGTACAATGACACGGTGGATACAAGTAAATAATACAATGTAAGAATTTCGTTCTGATAGCTGAAATTTAAAAATAATAATTCTTAGAGACCGTTTGCAGTAAATAACAATTAATATTGTGCATAGAATAGAAAATCCAAGAACCATCCTTCTGATTTTGAAAACAGATCTTTTCGAGTGATCGTCTGGTGAAATCTTTCAATAACATAGCCCATTATGGTGTACCAGACGGAAATAAGTACACGATTCAACGATTTGTCGGATATCGTTCATTCTAATTACGAGCAGGAATCTTTTCCAAGTGATCGCACGGTGAACCTAAATAGAAGAATACTTACAGTTTTCCTCGAGGCTCCGTCGAGTATCTCTCGTTCCAATCGTAAAACCACGCGCTTCTTGAACGAACGCCTAGGAAAATCTCTGGATTTCTTGGATGATCGAACAGAGAATCAAAATTAAAGAGACCTCAAATTGTTCGATAGCTTTTGTTCCAAAAAAAGTGATTATAATCCGCAAAATTGGACGTTACAATTATATGTATATTACGCGAGGGACAAAGTTCATCGTAATTCTAATGAAGTGTTAGGCATTGTACAATGAATCAAGAATCGTGATATATAATTGCACGGTTTAAGAATTATACGTTTACTGTTGTATAAAGAGAAGTTCTTCGCTTCCATTATAAATTTTCCTTTCCTCGTAATAGACAGGAAAAAAGAAAATGTCATGTAGAAAACAGGACGCTACGTGAATTTCAAAATACTTATAATTTAGTAATTATCACAAGTTATAATCGAGGGTTGCTGGATGGATAGAACCGATGACCGTACGCGGCGGTGGAGTTCCAAAAGCAACAGAGGATAGGATTCCCGCGCGTAGCAGCGAGAAACACGTTTTGTTCTCTGTTATCGAGTATAGAGGATAGATAGGGGAAGGAACAGGGGATGGGGGTGACAGTAAGGAATCAGCTGATCGTTTAGGGGCGCCACGCCGCTTTCTCTCATCCTTATTTCTCTCCCGTCCGCTCATCCTTTTCTTTTTCTTGATCCCCTGAAACTCGTAACGTACATCCGTACACTGGTTTAGATACACGTACAGACACGCGACAAGGTTCCCGACATCACGCTTACCAGTTTCCCGCCAATGATTTTCTCCCTCGCTATCAGTCTACTTACGTTTTATTTTAAAGTGACCACTGCCAAATTCCGTCTCGCTTGTCATTCATGACGTATCGACGTTTTCGTTCACGTTCTTAAAAATAAATTCGTCGTAGTCGAAAGATTTTAGACACGTATCAAAAACGAACGCGATTAACATCGATCATGGCAATTAGTTTAATTCGGGATATTCAGAGGAATCGAGTTCGATACTTATTTTTATAATTTCTACTCGTTCAGTTTTCGTTGAACGCGAGATCGTATGAAAACGGAAGCATCGAGTATAATTAATGGAACTACTGTTCATTCGATTTCAGGAGGACAGGGCCAGAAGGTATCGGTTCAGCGTGGGTGGTGGAGGAGGCGGAAGAAGAGGAGGGATCGTTTAGGATAAGTGCGTGGATGGAAGAGGGAAACAGGACCAGGGGGCACGAGGTTCGAGGAAGAAGGGGGCGCACGGGGGCGAAGGTTGGCAAGGTGGCTTCGCCAACGGGTGGTCACGGTGTCGGCAGAGCGGCCGCGGGACGGTGAAACGAACGAGAAGATGTCGTCGAGCGCCCCTGTCGGCGACGAGGACAGCGGCCCCGACGGCACGGGGCTGCAGTCCCACTACTCGCTGCGATGGAACAATCATCAGACCCACATACTACAGGCGTTCGAGGCGTTGCTGCACGCGGAGGTGCTCGTCGACGTGACTCTCGTGTGCTCAGAGACCAGCATCAGGGCGCACAAGGTCGTCCTCAGTGCGTGCAGGTGGGAAACAGATCGTCCTACAACGAGGCGACGTTCTTGTCTAAATACTCGGTCAAATACTTTCTTTCCTCCTGTTTTGCGTCGGAGAACAGGTTCCGATATGTACGCGTTTATCCGCGAAGGTGTCGAGTCGAGAACAGAAACAGAATGCAACGATAAATAAACGAACATGATCGCGAGTGCGAAGAATAAATATAAAAAAGAATTTGTCGTCGTTCTTGCCGTTCGTTTGTTCGCGGTTTGCTGGCTAATTTGATCGCGCGGGGCACACGGACAAATAGTTCTCTCTTCTCGCCAGCCGGAACGTATGACGTAAAATCGGCCAAAAGCGAAAGTCCCTCGCGATTCGCGAACGCGATCATTGTGGATACGCTACTCGACGTAATTCTCTTGCGCTTTTTATCCGCGGTTTACCAAGAAAATCGCGTTAGCCGCTTCGATTTTGCTACTGTCTCGAACAAACCCACTCTCTGGCATAGATTCACTGTAAGAATAAAAGAACTTCGCGATAAGAACGACGCGCGCGCGAGTGCGATACCAACGTGTAACGAATTAACGCATTTTGGATCTAGACGAATATCGCGGCAAATCTCACGATTAAATATCAAATGATTCTACTATTTCAGTCCATTCTTCGAGAGGATATTCGCGGAGCATCCGTGTAAGCATCCGGTAATCGTCTTGAAGGATTTCCCCGGACAAGAGGTCGCGGCGCTGATCGACTTCATGTATCGGGGCGAGGTCAGGGTGGGTCGCGAGGACCTTCCGGGCTTGATGAGAGCTGCCGAGAGCCTCCAGGTCAGGGGCCTTGCATCCTCGGAGCCGAGGCCTACGTCGCCACCGGAAACGCCGACCGCGGACCTCCTTTTGGACCCGTCGACGCCAGAAGTCCTGGTGCGGATATTTTATACAATGCTCAAGATACCATCGTTTTTATCGTTCTTCCTTCGTCTAATCGTCGCGATCTCTTAACAGGAAGGAGCGATGCAGGGGACTCCTGATGAGGACGACAACGGGTCCGGAACGTCGAATAGGGACTCAGTGCCCGTCAGCACACCGACCATCTTCCACCCATCCAGGGACCACCGCGACAGGTTACCGCACATGAGTCACCTGAACTTCGGTATCCGCGAGCTGCGAGAGAGCTGTGGGTCACCCTTGTTACCGAGAAGGAAACAAGCCAGGCCCCGGAGGAGATCCGGCGAACTGGTGCCTCAAGATCTGAGCAGACCCCATCGGCCGACGAGTTTGAGTCCGCCCACGACGTCCGCGGGATTGAACCTTACTGCAAATCAGCAGCAGCAGCAGCAACAACAACAGCAGCAGCAGCAGCAGCAACAGCAGCAACAGCAACAGTCTTCTGGTTCGCAGAATCATCAACAACAGGTACGATCATTTAATTCTCGTTTCATTTGAATCGACGAATGAAATGTTTCATTCGCGGATATATTCTAGGAGGACATAGCGGAAAACCTTTCAATGAAGAGGTCCGTCTCGCCGACGGTTGGAGTCGATCAGCAAGTGAAAGCAGAGAGCAGCGAAGCGGCGAGTAGTCCTCGAGGATCGCCACTGACCGGGACCAGTCTGCTGCACCCGGACGGTTCCTTGCAGGACATTCCCGCAGCCGCGGCAGTGGCCGGATTGCCAACGATGTCTGCGTTGTCGTTGACGCCACCACACCACCACAGCGAGTACCTGACGAGTCTGGGCCAGCTGGCGGCCCAGTGGCTACCGAATCATCCCCAGGGACAATTACCGCCTCCTCAGGGTCATCACCCGAGGGACGGAAGCCCTCATGGTCCGAACAGGCCGCATCCGTATCAACAACAGCAACAGCATCAACAGCACCACCAAGAATCGTCGCTGACGTCTAGAAGAACTTCGATGACGGCGGGCATGTTTCCTCTGGACGGCGGCGTAGCTACTTTGGGAGGCGGCCTGTTTCCTCACGCGGGCGCCTTGGACAGAGGTTCCCTTCTGGCGGATCTGCACGACAGTTTCAAACCGGAAGCGCTTCACGGGTTGTTCGGCGCGGCAGGCCTGGGTTCCCATCATCCCACGAAGAAGCCGAAGAAACACAGAGGCGACGGAGACGCGGCCAGAAGATGGGCAGATCAGAGTAGTCGAGGATTGCCCGTTGGAAGGCCGAAGGGTCAACACAGTGCGCCCAGAGGCGGCCCACCGAGATCGTGGACGAACGCCGAACTCACCGAAGCGTTGCAGCACGTCTGGAACAAGAAGATGACTACGTCGCAGGCCAGCAGGATATTCGGTATCCCGTACAACAGCCTGTTGATGTACGTTCGCGGCAAATACGGGAAGAGCTTGAAGCTTGAACAGCTGAGAAGGGATTGCACGGGAGCCACGACCGGGGAAGTGGTCTTGAACTCACTGAACAACAACGTGAAACCCGTCCAGCCTCCCACTCAATTGAGTCACCCTCTCGCAGGGCTGCCGCCCCATCCAAGCGACGAAGGCGGTTTCCCACATCACTCGTTGCTCGGCGGCAACCTTCCGCAAAGCTTTTTTCCCGATTTCGCCGCGGCTGCATTCCCCGTCCCGGTCAGTATGGTCCATCTGCTGCCACCCAGCGAGCAGAAAGCTTATGAACCGGCCGCGAATCCCACGGGGGCCGGTGCAGGCCCAGGGGAATTGTCCGGAATGAGGAGCAGCAGCAGGACGCCATCGCCTGTGGACCATCGTCATCACCACGAGTCGATGCAACCGCAGCCGGCGCAATCCGCGCCCGCGCTACTCCAACAGAACGGCTCGGATTAGGAACGAACCTTTTCGAGAACGATTTTTGGGAACGGTTTCGGTTTCGGTGATCGTCGCCGCCGTCGTCGAGAATTGCTGCAGTTACGATCGGACGCCAGAATCGAATCGTTCGATAACGTGGCACGTCGGTCGTTGCGGCCGTAACCAACGATCGTACTCGATCTTCGGTAAACGCGTTCCATTTTAAAATGAGAACCATTTGAACGGATGGGAACCGGTCCACGATGGACGGTGTTCCGACTCGTGAACCGTCGTTGGAATACGATTCTGATCGGAGCCAACACGTTTCGGACAAAATAAACGGTACGTGAGTCGCTGTACCTCGATGAACCGTCGTCACGGCCGTCGGAGAAGAGAGGAAGAATATTGTTTTGTACATACAACGACGACGTTTTGTTATACGTAGAATTATTCGAAAAATTTATGAGAGAACTGTTTTAAAAATGACACCGGAGAATCGTCGAATCGTTCTGCTTCTTGCTTCATCGTCAGGACTACTTCGGATTGGTATGAAATGGTTTCAGTTTAAAATGTGTGAAAAAAAATTGTAAAATGTTGAAGAAAACGGGACTTAGAACGTCGCGAGAGAGCTATTTCGATCGTGGTACCAGGGACCCATTCGGAACGATCTACTCCTCGGTGGTTTCCAAACTGAGATCTCGGTTAGAAGAAAATTCAACCTTTGGTTCTTAAACGATTCCAATAAGAAGAGAAGTGTGATGCCGCGGACCATGTCCAGGATCGGAAGTCATCGGATGCGCATCGTCGACCGCCGTCATCGTGAGTTTGCTGCAGCGCCTTTAAGGCGAGACACGATTTCTACGAATCGTTTATCGTTTTCCGTACGCGATATCGTAAGTAGCCTGTTCTTCTCTTCTTTCGTCGCGCAACGTTCGTAAAACATCAGTTTTCGATTAACGCGTTGATGGTCGTCGCTTTTAACACACGCCGATCAGCTCCGATCGACGATAGTCCGAAACTCGAAAATGTCTCGTTACGAATCTTTCTTTTATAGAGCTAAATTCGATCGGACGATCGATCAGACTCTTTGACAAATCTGTATATGCTCGATACAAATTATATCGTTACAAAGAACCAGTTTAATAGCTCGCGCGAAGTCAACGATGATCCGATAAACGAAATCAGAGGCGATCAACGTGTTAACCGATAATCGTTATTCTTGACGATCACGCCAACGAACCAAACGGGAATGATCGACTGTGAAAGCTCTATTACCAGGAGACTGTTCTCTTCTCACAAGACTGACTATCAAACGGGTTCGTTCGCAGCGTAGGACATGAGTTTTTCACAACTTTTCGACTCCCCGACGTTCAAGTTTCTCTCCTTTTCGGTATATCATCGCCGATGCAACTTTGAAATTATCGCGTATTAACTCGCGATTGTAACTGCAATCCATTTTACCAGATAAAATGGAGAATAATTCTGTTGAAAATTTTTTGTATATAACGTGAATCAAGCAATGACAACGAATATGTTGTTTCGATTTATTTATTTTAAGTAAGATAGGTATATTTAACGATCTGTCGATTATCCGACGAGCGTCGAGGGGTTGAAAAAATCCTCTAACCATATTCTTAGTAACCTTCTATACGTATACATAGTTCCTCCCTTCCTTTCCGTTCTGAAAATCTCAATGAAGCACTTGATTTTCGAGGACCAAAGCCCGAAGCATAGAGAATCTCCGTACAGTTATTTCGCAAATCTTTTAACAAATATTTTTGACTAATCTTGACGACGCATGAACAACAACGCTTGAACCGCGAATGAGTTTTTAAAAACCTTAAAGATCATCGACAGAAATTGAAACGTATGAAACATCGGGTAAACGTGAAAATGGATTAAATCATTTTTAGACTTCTCTTTACCGGGTTAAATCGGAAATATTACGGAATGCTTCGATCTCGATCGAACGTTCAAAGAATCCGTTCGGTTATCTTGAACGAGACGAGAGGAGGCACTTAATAAGATGAAATCTCTGATAGGCAAAACTGGCAGCGAAAGGGAAAGGGGATGATCGCGGACGATGAAAATAAAAGTAATAACGAATCTCGGAGAATCGTAGACCACGCAGGATGCTTGAAGAAAAATAATGAAACAATTATAATTAAATAAAACACAATATTTCGACAACCAGACGGAAGCGCAGGGTAACTAACACATCAGGGATAGCCGCAGACAAATCTACGATAGATAAAACTTGTAAAAGTAATAAAAAAGAAAAAAAAAAATCAAGAAATTGAAATAATGAAGGTGAATGCATAAGAAAAAGAGAGAGAGAGTTAAGAAAACGTAAAGCTATAATACATTTACGATTGATTAAATTTCGTTAATGAACTTAAAGGTGAACAGAAAGAAAGATGAATAGAGCGAGGCGAACAAAATTTGTGTCGCAGATTCGCGCGCGAAATTAAATATATTATTAAATAAATAAATTAAGTAGAATGTAAAGAGAGGGAGAGAGCGAGAATGGAACATGAAAATGATCGCACGGGTTCAATATATGGGGATTCGATTAAATAAAGAAGATAAAAATAATTTAGAAGAGACCACAGGCGCGTTCGAAGCCCCGCATAAGAATAATATAAATAAATAAAAAAATAGCCTGTACAATACAAAACTGATATTATTATTGATTATTAATATTATATATATATATATATATAAATTATATATTATATATATACACACAGGGTGTTTCGAAAGAGTTTAACGAACTTCTTCGACTCGGCTGTACCGCGTCGAGTCTCTCCCACGATACGTAAACTAACATAAATAATATGTTGATAATCGTTCATTTTATTTTTCGTCCGGTGCATCTTACTGTAATCTGTTTGATCGTTTTAACATTCGTTGAATACCGATTCGATTATTAACACTATTTGTATACATAGACAATTCGATGTACAACGTTTTAATCATCCACTTGTTAAGTGGTCATCGAACGAATCCGAGGAGGCCAACAGTGAGATACGAGAGACAGGGTACGCGGTACAGTCACGTCAAAAAACGGTTTTAACAATTTTTTATCCACTCTGTTGACGACGAGAAAGAGTAAAAAAAGAAGAAGCGGAAGAAGAGGGGAAACGTAAATGAACAAAAAAGAGGGGGTCGCGAATTAGGATGAAACGAGAGAAACAAATTTTTCTTTTCTCCGTACGCAAGCAACACTGTACATGTTACGATTAATTGATCGGTCGATTAATTGAAAGAAGAGTGTGGAGACGATCGTGCGCGTGAATTAAGAGAGAGAAAAAAAAAAAATGAGCGTCTGTGAATACTTAAATAAAATAACTAAATAAATGAAAGAGAGGAACGATGAAATGGGAGGTGAACTACGTAATAGACATACATATTTACATACCATATTGTGATAGGCACCATGTGCAGACTTCAGTATTATTTTGCAGTTAAACGAGACAAATGAAACGTGGGATGAAACGACTTACAGAATGGCGGGAACGAAATAACTAAATGAATTACGGATTCTGTACTTAGGTTAAACTACTCGAACGATTGAACGATGTCCGTTTCGTTAATTACGAATACCTACGTGTGCGACTTAGGGTTGAAGAGACTCGGAGATGGAAGGGTGCACGGAAAGGGTTGGGTCTATTTATTATCATTCCTATTCTATTTTAGTTAGAATTTATCGTTTTAATCAATCGCCGCTGTTAATTAATAATTACCTACGCATTTATCCATTAAATATCGGTCGACGAGGATCGGTATTATTTTTTAAAGCGATCGTGACATATCATTAGCTCTACGACCATTACCTATTATTATTGTTAATCTACGCGTAATTTTTAATTTATGTAACTGACTCGGTTTCTCGTAGTTCGAAATCACATTCTCTTGCTCCAACGGCATCGATTTCTTTTTATAATAACGTTTGACAAACAAGTTTAGCATCATCCAGCATGTCCATTTTCCTTTTAGTTCTTCCTTTCTGAGATTCCGTTTATCCCTTATTAAAACGGTTTTCTTTAATGTTTCAAATATCGGTATTGGTTCACTTCTAGATAGAAACGTTATCCGTTTTTTAGTCTTTAAGTAGGGATTATCGCGATTAATCCGCTATACGCAGGGTGTCCCAATCCAGGATAATTTGCCGGCTTGAATACCTGTGTTTGTTTCGTGCAACGTTAGGCGATTGATTTAACGGGACCGAGGGACGCCCCGTGTACTGTGCACGCGTTAAAGATTCTCGTTCACGGTTATCATTGACAGTTGCCAACGGACGACAGATCGACAGTTGAATAAAAAAAAAAAACAAATGAATGAAATAGAACGCAACAATAATAATGCATATTATTATAATGCCGCCGCGATGATATTTTTTGAACAGATACGAATCGCCACTATATACAATAATAATTATTAATTATTATTATACCATTATATACACCGCCGGGATATATCGAGATATAATTATAAATGATTAATGAAATGGGTATACGGTTATATTGCGAACAGATTAAACTATTCGAAATAGCACAAGCCGACAGACTCCAGTTTAATTTTTCTGGGTCGCGCCGTCCGCGGGGGAGGACGCGTTTCTTCTTCTTTCCACGGGCGACGGCCCACCATCTTAAGTTCCTAAACAACATAACGAGTAATAGTTTAAAACGAGACTTTTTAATCCGCTGAACGAAACTCCGGAAATAGTTGAACGAATACCATGACGATGATGATAAACGGAAAAAGTATTATTTACTGGTTGAGAGACAGAGGGTGTGTGTGTGTGTGAGAGAGAGAGAGAATGAGAGCGAGAGTGAGAGCGAGAGTGGGACGCAGTTAGATGCGAGAATAAAAGGAAGAAAAATACGTGTATGTGTGCGTGTCCAATAAGAGTAACGACGATTATTTTTATTTTACTCGGATAATCGATGAATAAAGGAAGAGTTACACGAACGATTTGTAAATAGATAAAACGAAGAGCGCGCGATCGATTATTTATGCGTATGATATATACACATATACATACACATATATATATATATTTATCGATAATTGTGAAACGCAGGATAAATAAATAATTGTTCTACGGATACAACCTTTAAAAAGTCGCGAGGAGAAGATAAATAGAGAGAGAGTGAGAGAGAGAGAGAGGGAAGGAAAGATTAGTGCAGTGCGATTATTATAAAAATGAGAAACGGAGATTTTTTAGTGATAATTAACAAGAGACTGTGTGATTAATTAATTATGAATGATTGCGGGAGAGATGGACAGAACGAGAGGCATAGAGTCCGGTTTCTGTGTACCCGTGCAATATTATCGTAATTAATTGTTGGATTAAAACATCGGCTACACGATAAGGATCGTCGTTATTTATTCGCGTACTTAGTCATTTTATTGTGAACTCTTAAAGCGAGTACCGATTCGAAGAGATACCACGTTCGATCAGCTGTACGAGTTTCTTTTTTATATTGAAATTTTCAATCAGAATTCGGTGCACGACATAGAAACCGTCGAAGAGTTCGGAAGGAAGAAAAAGACAGAGATGGATTAAATCGAATTTTCGAGGACAACCACTCGTATTATAGTATATATAATTCGTATTGTATCATAAAAGAAGCCAGAGAGAAAAATCAGGTGAGAGAAAGATAGATAGTGTGAGAGAGAGAGTGAGGGTGCGAGTGAGAGTGAGATTGAACACAGGAAACGAGAGATAAACTGATGAGAACCAGGTAAAAATAGGAAACACAGGAAAATGGAAATTTTTATCGAAAATAGTTACTTGGATCGGTTGTGCTGTCATTGTAGTTCCTAAATCGCCCTAGCCTCGCCTCGAGCGCATCAATTTATCGATTATAAACGAGATTAGACTAACGACAAACGAGGTTTCTTTTTTTTTTTTATTAACGATTATAGCGATTAACGCGTACCGCTCATTTGCAGTTGCATAATTCCGAACGATTGCCAACACCGTTACTATATTACCTCCTTCGAGTTATCGAACTTTTTCCGAGTTCGAAGTACTGTTTGACTCGTTGCGAGTCTCCGTTGAAACGTCGAATTGCTGTGTAATCGGACACGTCAATTATCACTGATCACCGAATCTTTGGTAATGCCGGGGAAATATTCGGCTACGAGGCAATCCGTCGTTCGAACGATCGGCAACAAATCAAACGAACAACATTTTTATATCGTTACATGATATGTACTTTTGTACATTATTTTATGTGAAACGCGTTCAATTCCGATGGAAACTTTTGTCTGATTTCGCCTTGATTCGACGGGAGGTACGCGTCGACTAGAATGTTAATCGATAAGCTGATAATATAAAATCGAACGTAACTTGTACGATTTTAATCATTTAATTGGAAACAATAGTTTTACCCTGTTGCAATAGTTGTAATAAACGAAAATGGTGCTGACGAGCCGTATTTACAGTGTACAACGCGAGCGGAAAATAGGAAATCACGCACCGTGACCGATTAGAAATAATTCGAGGGAAAACGGTTGAACGCAGGACGGCGAGAGAGTAAGAGAGAGAGAGAGAGAGAGAGAAAGAGAGAGAGAGAGAGATACGAGCAAATGGGGGAAAAATAGGAATGCGCACACGGAACAGGTCGCGAAAACAAGTTATCGATATAAACTGAATATATTTATACGAATTACGATTGTACCATAATTAATTGTAACGATACTGAATACTACTTATTATATCGAATAATGCAGAGCCGCCGCCACCCAGTAATATATTTTTTACAGGTTTACATTGTATTACAGTTTATAAAAAAGTGAAAAGAATGTTTGATATACATACAGTAAACAATATTTTACCTAAAGGCGCGGTGCCTCTAGCGATTCGCGAACGTTTGTACGGATAAAACGTTCGATCGGTCGCGGCGCCGCGCTCCAGCTATTACTTACTACAATACAATATTTTCGAGTGTTCGAGAATCGATGCGAGTATCGATTCTTTTCTTTTTAAATAGCCGATTTACTAATCTAGCGTTAACTTACAATTAGATTTCTCCGTTAAACGATTCCTATGATTCGTTCATAGAAGGACAGACGCATCGTGAAAACGAATAGACGAAACAACCTGACGTGCGAATTTGTTACTTTTTTATGTATTATGTATAAACGAATGACGATCGAACAATTGTAATAAGAATCGAGAACACGCATCGTCGATGTTTAGCAGGTTTATCGACTTTTCGTAATTTTACTTTTGTTTCAAACGAAGGACTGCTTCTACGCATCGCTGTCGAATACTGTAAAATGGAATGTCAACGAAAGGTAGAAAAAGAGAGAGAGAGAGAGAGTGGGTGCGTCGGAGAGAATGAACCGATCGATTCTCGAACACCCGCCGCCGACAAGATTGCAAGATACAGATTGCAACTAACAATAAAATAATAAAGAAACCATTTAAAGATGAAACTTGTGATACGTTTTACCGCTGGTTACTACTACTACAGAGACTTCCTAAGCCTAACGACCGAGAGTTAACGAATCCTTGATTGAACGTAACGAGTATATGTACACAGGATTTTTGTTAACTTCAACTAAAAATTAGGCGCCACTAGTTCACTCACGCACACTTTTAAAAATGTCACAGAGTACGACGACGCGACGTCGATGAAAGGTAACGAGAAATACGGATTTATACGCTACATGCATTACATACCTACCTACCTACCTACCGACCTACCTACCTTAAGTACTTAACGATACATACGGGATTTTATGTAACTTAAAAACGGGATTTATCGAGAATACTTAATCCTCTTCTGATCTACCGTAAATTAATTAAAATTTAGACGATGTAATTTAACGTTTGAGAGAGCGAGAGAGAGAAAGAGAGCGAGAGCGAGAACGAGAGAGCGAGAGAGAGGTTCGAACGGGCGAGAAAGCGAGCAAACGGAGGGAATGTAATCTAAAGAATAAAGATAAAATTAAAAACGAAAATGGGAAAAATGACAAAAAAAAAAGAAAACGAAAACAATATGGTGTGAATATGCGCACCACGAGGCTAGGACGAGGCTAGCTACCTTTTCGAGAAACAAAACCCACACACCATGTTCACACTCTTCGGACTTTTGAAAACGAAATATACGAGGGAGAGAGGGAGAGTAAGAGGAAACAAAGTGCATGTTATACGGTAAAATTGATGAGTAAACACCGATTTCGTAATCGTATTCACTCGCCCCGACACAAACAGACACACCCAACCACCCCCCAACCCCCAACAAAAAAAATCGAGGATTACGAGGAACTTTAAACTAAAACAAAAAAAAAATATTATAACCCCATGGAAAATAAAAACTGTACATACAATTGCAACGTTCATCGTGTTCTTTCTTTAATACCTGCACGACAGTACGTGTCTCTTCCCATCGACGACCTCCTCTATCTGCGCGCGTATCGACCCTCATTTAATTTCAAACAGGTAGCCGTTCCCCGTTTCTTCGGCCGCGTTAAAACGAAATCGTACAACGCGCATAGGCACCGCGTAATCGGGAATATCAGCCGTCCCTCGTAATATCAAGCTCCGAGGAAAGTTGCCCAGCGGTGGCAGCCGAGTAAATTCGGAACTTTGCGGAGAAAAAATTAACCGGCCGGTCGTTTTCATTAAAACTTTTTCGTTTCTCCCGTTCCGCGATATCGAAGATATACCTAAACGTTGTTATTTTTCATCGTTCCCATTGTTCCCCCGGGGACATCCGTAAAACTTTAGACGCTGAGTACCTACCTGCCTATTCTCGTTTAGAAGGGTCAGCATTTTGATAAATAGAATGAACGATCGATCAGCCGTATTTCGTCCAGGTACGGAATACGACGTTTGTACACACGCTTAAGTACTAATCTAGCTTTAGCCTTGGTAAAAGTACTTTTACTTACGAGTCTCGTCGCGGTCCCGTATTTATTTATAGGCGCCTTTAAAATAGTTCCCGAACACCGGAATCGTAGAGTACACGCATTCGCGTGAATTCACGCATGCACGTTACCACATGTTACCGGGCGAATTCGAGGTACACCGTGTTCGTCGATTGACCGATTAAAGGAGCCTCGATCGACCTTCGGATTCGTCGAAGAGATCGTTTCAAGTTGGATTTCTTTCTCCGGGGCATTCGCGCTAAACAGGACGATGTATCTTTGTTCGCGGAGGCCCTCCCGGAATCGGCGATCCCTCTGGATCGACGTATTACTTATTTATTAGGTAGCCCCGATGCCTAAACCGGGTGGTCCGCGACTCGACGGAATCGATTACTCGAGATTCGCGGAACCCTGAGCTCCCCCTCGCCTCGCCTCCAATATTATGCCACCGCTCCTCTTTTTCTCTTTTCTTTCCTTTTGCCCCGATCGTTTGCCTCCAATTTCGTTCCCGATCCTCGCAGGGTAACGCGCGTCGGTGTATCGGAACCTTCCCGGACTGATCTAATTCGACGTGGTATCTCGAAAGAACGCGTAGGAATACGCGACGGCTAAGGTACCACCTATACAGTTTTAGTTTTTCTGTCGCGAGATCTCAGGTGTCCCGGCCGGGCGGGCGTGACACCCGAACACACCGGGACGGGTACGACGCGTGGCCAGGTGTGAGATTTTCTTGCACGCTTCTTCCACGGTATTGTACGGTTACCGGTTACAGGGTGACGGTGACACTTGCAAGGTGTCGGGGGTCTTCTCCAGGGTCGCTACCAAGGTATGTATGTAACTTGAACTCGCTTACGTCGAGCACGAAAAGAAAACATAAATTGTGTAAAAAGTAAATCCCGTTCGAACTATCGGACGGTCTTATGTATTACGTTTTATTCGACGACTGCTTAGATACGCAAAAATAAGAACGTACGGCATGCGGGTTTTTATTTTGAAAATCTCGACTCGCGTGCAACTGGAGTTCTAAAGACATTTGTTCCTATAAGTTGTGGCTAACCGCTGCACGTACCTACTTACACGGGTCTCCATCACCTCGGCGACGCGCTACACGTAGCTACTTCAAGTACGTATCTACGATATCCGATATAATTCGCAAAGACAGCGAGATTCGTTTCATTTAAAATAAGCATCGAGGTATAAAGTAATTTTCAAATCCGTAATGAATTCGTACAATGGAGCGTTGAATTCCCTGGGAAGAAATTAAATCACAGACGTAAAGTTAAGCTGAACCTGACGGAATGAAAAATACCATCGGTGAGAACGCGTGTACGGCTACTTCAAAGACAAATTTAATTTCGCTTCGTGTAGCCAATTTTCAGTTGGAAAATTTAACTTTCGTGTAATTGAAACAATTTCGAGCCCGGACACGCGTACAGTCCACGGGAAGAGACTTCGTACACGGGATTTACGTCAACCGTCTACGTACGTCGTAATTTACGCTCGTACAATTTGTATTTCTCGATCGTTACGTCGCCTGATTCCCTTTTTCTCGCTCAGGTCGGGACGGCGAAGATAAATACCGACTTTGGTTTTGCCGAGGAGCGAGTCATTTTTTATTCGCCAGTTTCGACCCCGAAAGGCAAACGCGAAGGCGCGCGTACACGCAGACGGCAGGTACGCGTCTCGCGACGCTGTGGTCCACGGCTGGCGATTTTTCTAGCTCGATCGCGATCGAGTCGGATTTCACGATCGAGATCGACGCCGCTAAAACCGCCCGATGGACAAAAACTCGTGTCTTACGTTTTACGAAGAGGGAAAAAATACTCTCGTCCACGACGGCTCGTCGGGAATGACACCGCTCGTTAGCGTTTTCACGCGAGAACGATTACGCAACTTGTAACGTGATTCGCGGAAAAAGTACGGAGCGCATATTTGAACGCGCGCGCGGAGGATCGGGTTCGCCGTGGAGGCGATAGAAAAAAGGAATTGCCGAGAGGCAAAGCGATACAAGGGGGAAAAAAAAAGGAGTAGCGGTACGGCTTCGGCTTCGACCCTTTTCGCTTTTTCCTTTCCGCGAGTTCGTCGTTTCGATCGCGGCTTTTAACGTTACACAAACGCGCCCACCTTTGATCCGTTCGACGACGTCCGAGCCGAGTGAAATTTTCGACAATTTTCACGCGAGTTAATTTAGAAGACTCTGTCGAGAGTTTACGAACGTTTAGCTGAAAACGAGGAAACGTTCGAACGCGTACAATGTACGTGTACCTACCTACTCGTCTTGGGACAAGCCGGTGGAACGATGACAAGCCAATAAATCATGATTCACCGTGTGGGAACCGTTCCTCTCGCTGAGGCATCGCTGCTCCGCACGGGAGTATAAAATGTTTAACTCGCTTGCGTCGATCGCGCGAGGTGGCCGCAACTATTCGCATCGCGTTCCCTCGCCGTCGAATCAGGTATTACGAGTATCAGGATAACGCAAAAACGAGCATCGTTGAATTTACACAAAATTGAATAATAGACGAAACGCCGGGGTGCTTGCAGAGGAGTTCGATTAAAACAAATTTGTTAAATCGGTTTTACGAAGAGCACGAAAGATAGGGAAGAGGGTCTCGTAGAAGGAGTGCAGTGGCAGGCTAAGCGGCACACAAGGAACAAGCAGAGACAAGAAGAGACCGAAGCGGAAAGAGAAGGAAGAGGGGTTTATTTCGCGTTTGGTATGACGCGGTCCGAGAAGAGTCTCACGTGGAAAGGCAGTCGGAGTCGGGCCTCGTTCGTTCGAGCACACACAGTCGAACTCGTTCGCCACTCGAGAACGGACGTCGCGAACTAATTCCGATCCGTTCGATCCTTTGCACAGTACTTGTTCATTTAAAACCTCTTCTGTGTCGCAAAAGGAGGAAGTTCACCGGAAGCAGGACTGATCCTTGCGAAGAACGTTGGATTTTCCCATCGTTTTTCTTGGCCCCATCGATCTTCACGAAATAAAATCGATCGGATTGAAATCGGAAAGGAAATCATCGTCCAAATCTCAAATCGCTATCGTCGAGGAAAATCTGACGACCGCTTCCCGTCTTAAATCACTTGCCAAGGAAAATCTTTCATGTTCACTGACAATGAGAGTTTCCTCGAGAAGAATCACGATGCCGCTGTCTCTCATCTTTCTAATCACGCTCGCGTCAGTGTTCAGCGTTCGTGTAACCGGTTGCGCTTTCTGCCAGAGATTATCGCATCAACAGGCCAGTTACAAGACCATCGGCAGTCCCCGGCCGTTCGGTGCTGAGAAACCGACGAGGGTGCAAGAGTTCGACAGGACCGGGGTGCTCCACCCCGAATACCAGATACCGGCTACCCTCAGACCCGGTAACGTTTCTCAGTGAGTACTCGCCGTTTCTCGATTATCTCTTCCTTAATCGTACGCGTTTCTACGAGTTACGTCGACCCGGACTGACCGTTAGATACGCGTACCATCTTCCAGGATATACTCTTCGGCTTTCTTTCAACCTCGAATTACTCTTAGCCGTAATTAGATTCGCCGAGCGTAAACGCGCGTCGAATCGTAAAGTATAACGGTTTACCCTGCACGGTCCAAAGATAAACGAGAGGGAGGCTGTATTTAAGAAAGGTGCGTTCGCGTTGCGTCGCGCGCTGCCCCGTATTAGAAACAATTCGCGCGAATTTCGGTCCGCCTCCGTCGCAACACTCGCGCCGGAATCGTTTATAGTTTACAGTTTACACGGTTCGCGCATGGTTCCAGAAGTCCAGACAGGCCCACGGCGCGGCGCAACGTTTCGAACGTTTACACGAGAACGTCACGAACCCCCTACGCCGTACGCTGTGCACCGTTTCATCGGACATAAACTGCATCGGTTCTCGTTTTCTTTTTACCAACGCCGGACTTTCTGCGTAACATCTGAGTCACCGAGCAAATCGATACTTAACAACGTGGCTGGAAATCGAACGCGCAAAAATCGTCGTTCTTCCTCTTGAAATTTCTTAATACACTTCATTATACTTTCGCGAGTTCCAATTGTGTTTTTCTGCGGTTTTCGAGAATCGCACTGCGACGCAACAGACTGTTCAATGTACTCGATCGAAAAACCGTAAATAAGGAAACGTGGATCCGCGTAAGTACGAATACCTCGCGGCGTCGTGCCGGCATCATATAAATAGCGTCGAGTCGACGCGCCGTCCCGCCGCCGCGCCGCGCCGTTGAGAACACGGTCGGTCCCGATTTCAAGGTAACACCCGTAGAGCCCAAAGGTCTAGGGTAGTCCGTTATAGCGTCGCGACGCGAACGCGCGTCGAAAGCGTTTCCACGAAACACGGTAGACGGCCTCGTCTCACGAGTCGAAGAACGACGGAACGAAAATCCGGGTCCGAGACAAAATTAGACCGGGCGAGGAAGGGGTCGCGGCCCCAGACGCCGCGACGCCCGCCATTGTGCTCTAAGACGCTAATTTTACAATAGAGAGACCGTTCCTGGGTCGAGGAGCACGTGCGGCGTCCCGACGCGCGACGCTGCCCTCTCCTCCTCGATATTCCTTTTTCTCTCCCTTTCGAATCGCGATAACCCAACGGCGACGCGACACGGGACGACGATCGAGACGGATGAACCGAAAAACGATAAACGCGCAGCGATCGCTATCGATACGACCGAGTTTCATCTTGGAGAGCGACGCGTCGCACGTAATGAGAATTGCCAGTTGAAACGATTCCTCGCCTAGCGATTTAATCATACTGGATGCAGCTAACGATTGCAGGTTCTACTATCTAAGCCCCCGCGAGGGTCCGCCCCTCACTTTGCTGGTCAGTCCCTGCAACGGGCCGATATCGTGGACGGTCAGCTACGTGGAACCACCGGAGAGCAGCGATGGAACCGAGGGAACTAAATGTACGCAGGTTTTCGTTCAGAGATTAATACGATAACGATTCGCGTTAATCAAGCAATTCGATGTCGAATTGTTTAGCCGGCCAAACTCGATGGCCAGTGAAGAGTCTAAAGCCAGGCTCGCCGCTTTTCGCTTACGAAGGCGCCGAAGACCGAAATCTGACGATTTCTAAGACCAGGGCCGGTCTCTATTGGTTCGAGATCAAATCCTTGGTAGCCAATTCGAGTTTTCAAAATTCTACGATACCGAGCACGGTGCTGTTGTACGCCACTTCCGGAAACTTAGGACGGACCGTGGAGTCGCATGGACAGGCGAACGATACCGATAAGAATGACCGTCGTAAAATACTGAAATTTCAGCAGAAAAGAAGCAAGAGACGATTAACAGTGTCTTGGAACAAAAGGTGACGACTTGAGCGATACCTGTCTCGATTTAGATATTTCAGAAGACAAGAAGAATCGAGGAAGTTACTCGTCTTCGTGTTTGCAGCACCAATGTGGAACCGCATTTATCGCAATACTGCTTGGCAGTGACTTCGGGATCGGAGGCCCATCCGTCGACCCTTTGCGCCGCGCAGAACGTTCTTCGTGTTCACCGATATTTCGCTAAGGCTGCTGACTCGACCGCCAAAGAACAGAAACGAGCGACACCCGAAGGACTCTACTGCGTACGCCAAACGAAATTGACTCTCCATAGGATGAAGTACGATACTAATTACAATTTCACTTTATACGTGGTAAGTATATTTTAGTAAAATAAATAGTTAAAGTCGATGGCCGTATCACCGAGGAGAAATTACTAGAGTGGCAGCCTTATGAGACTGTGTCGCATGAGAAAGTCCTCAATTTTTTACGCCCTTTAGAGTATATTGCCGCCAAAGTTAGAAATATGACCTTTTTTCTAGGTAATAGCAGTATTTGAAACTT